ACAGAACCAAAGATGTCAAGATTTTCCCCTGAATTAAAAAAAAAACAAAAAACTTTTTTTCCCTCCCTGGGAGCCCAGGTAGATTACCTGCATCTCAAAGGCACAAGAAGAGAAATGCAAGCTCCTCCTGAGAAATGCAAGCTTTTACAAAACCCAACCACCTTGGCTGTTTTCAGGGATTTTTTTTTCTAGTTTCCAAATATCCACTTCAGCTTAAAGAAATAACAGTAATAGACAATTGTATATAATTCGTTCACATTCACATGCCTCACTTTCAGCAAAGTCAGGAAAAGAGAACAGGATTTGGACTCAGGTGCCGAGGAACACACCCCCCCCCCGCCAAGAAAAAAGCCAAACTGCCCCAGGCCCACTCTGATGCAACAGCAGGGCCCCTGCGCTCCAGACTCCAGGGAGTTCTGAGTCCACACAATGTTGCAAAAATATCATTTTCTTTCACGTAAACCTGAAGCTCCCAGTTTTGTAAAATGCACCCTCGGGGACTATGAGATGGAACAGACCTCTGATCATCCACACTTAATTATTCCCGGCCGAGGTTATCGGATATCAAGCAAACAACCATCCAGAACGGTCTCTCAGGGTCACAGTTCCCTACCCCAAAAGGGGGGAGCCCCAGCCAGTGCCCCATCAGAGATGAGGCTGAACGAAAGACCAAGGCCAGAAAGGAAAACTGCCAACCGAGGCTCTGCCCCAGGTGAGGCCAGAGCGATGGGGCGGATTCCTGGTGTGCTCATACGCCAGCCGTTACTCAGACGTCTCAGCCCACCAGCACAAGTTCTGACACACACGTGCAAACAGACATGGCCCCACAAACCAAAGATCAGAAGAGGTATAGCCCCAAAACTCCACTTCGTCTCCCAAACGGAGGCCTCCAGAGTGGCCTGGCTTCCGAAAAAGAACGGACCCAGGGCGGCTCCCTGTGAGCCCAGAGCCGCTCACTCCCAGGAGGGAAGGAGCCCGGTGGGGCGGGTGTTCTCGGAGGCAAGCCCATGTGCCCGCCGCACCCTGAGGCCAAACTGAACCCTCGGAGTTTGGAGCAGAGAAAGATTTACTGCAGGGCTGAGCGAGGAGGACACGGTGATTCATGCCCCAGAAAATCCCGACCTCCCGGAAGGGTTTCAGCAAAGCCTATTTAAAGGCAGGAGGTGGGGTGGGGCGGGGAGTCGCAGGGACGCGATCCGCTGTGCGCAGTTCTTTGGTGGGCTGATGTGGAGGTACGGTGGGCGACCGCAGTCAACACTGTTAACCCCCAGGCTCCAGAAGGTCTGGGGCCACATGCTCCCCACCATCAAGTAGATCATTCCTTCCCTTTGGTGGTGGGGCTAAGCATCTGAAAAACTCGGGAAATGAGCATGAGATACTGGTATCTGGTCCTTCAGAGCGGAGCTGCAGCAGAGGACATAGGGGAGGGGCTGAGCCTGGAAGGCCCCACAGGGCCCCGCTCGGCACGCAGGCAGAACTTCCCACCCTGCACAAGCCAGAGGGGCTCACCCCAAACCGGCGCACACAAACGGCAGATAAGCCCCGGTCACACAGTCAGAGGAGGTGGCGTCTAGAACTGCACTCCCAGACGGAGGCCTCCCCGCAGAGGGTCTAGGGCAGCCCCCTTCCCAGGGCAGCGAGCCCGGACGCAATGGGGAGACTCCCAGCCTGTGTGAGCAGGAGTCCAGGAGCCATGCACCCCTTAGCCATACTGAGTGTGGACACAGCTCCCGACAACAGCCTGGGGGCGGGGGCACAGCGCCCAGCAGGGAGAGTCGTGCCCACCCACCCCCTCCCCGGTTCCCAGCGCGAAGTGAGCTCCGCAGCTGCTGGGACGCGGGGAAGGGGCGGCCCAGGCCAGGTCGGCCTGCTCGGGCGCGGACTCCAGGCAAAAACTTCGCCTAAACTGTCACTGAACGCCAAGTTCCTGTGCCTGACACACTGTGAGGCCAAAAAACACCAAAACGTCCAAGTTTGGAGCAGAGGAAGGTTTGCTGCTGGGCCGAGCAAGGAGGACGGGGGCTTGTCCTCAGAAAACCCCAAACTCCCCGAGGGTTTCCGCTGAGCCTTTTTAAAGGCGGCTGAGGGCGGGTGGGGGGGGGGTCCCAGGGCAGGGGATCAGCTGTGCACAATTCTCCGGTTGATGATGATCCATCCTTAGGAGCCAGGTCTCGTGGCCACATGCTCATGGTCATTAAGTAGTTAACTTCTTCCCTGTGGTGGTGGTTTTGAGCATCTGAAAACCTCAGGAAGCTTGCATGAGATTCTATGATCTGGGTCCTTCAGAGAGGAGCTGCTGCAGAGGATACAGGGTGGGGCGTGTCTGTCCCGGGAGGCCCCTCAGGGTCCTGCTCAGTTACAGGCCCAACCCAGGTCAGCGAGGACCTTACTGACCCCTGAGCTGTAGTGATTAAATAATCATCGTCTTTAGCCCTGAGTTTTGGGATGCTTTGCTCCCAGCAGCAGGTAAAAGGCACTTACAAACTCGGGGGAAGCAGCCACCCACGCGTTTCCCGGTGATCTCACTGCAACCTCCTGCTGGGGACATGGTCCAGCCACCCCATTTGGGCAGCGCAGTCCTCAGACAGGACAGTGCAACCAGAACCATGTCCACCCCCACCAAAGAATTCACACTAACAGCCTGTTGCTCTCCCTCATATTTGTTTATTGAAACCGTAAAATATAATAAGTTATAAAAACAGAATTAGACACAAGTATTGCTGATTAAGACATCACTGGCCAAGGGCGCAGCTCAGCCTGGGGCTTTTCTGAATGTTTTTATTACAGCAAAACCATGGAATGTTGTCCCCGGTGGGACGGGCAGGGCGGAGCCCCGGCTCTTCTCAGTGATGTCCCGTCGTCTCATCGACCTGCCTTCCACCACTCAGGCTAGAGCTCACCAGAACAAACCTTTCCTGGATTTGTTTCCAAATAAGTAAATGACAGAGGAGCGTGTGACTCTGAGGACGAACCCCCTACACAGGCAGCTTGAGTCCCCAGAACAGGCCTGACGCCAGCGAGACCCCCAGCCCTAAATTCTGACAGCGGGAAACCAGGCCGCCCCTGCCCCTGCCCCTGCCCTGACTCATCGTCCAGGGCAGCCGCTCACCCGTGCAATGCTTGCAGCCTCCCTGGGGCGGCTGCAGAAAGCAGGGCACCCAGGATGCCAGAGAGGAATTAAAAGCGGGTCAAGTTGTGCTGTGGGGAATTCAGCCTGCGGTCGCAGCACACAGGCAGGGCAGCGGTGAGCACACCGAGTGCAGACTCCACCATTCAGACCTGTT